TAACGAGAAATTGCTAAGTTAATGCTGTATTCCGATCGTGATGAAGATCGCTCGCGATAAAGAGACATAGGGCAGGTATTCTTACGGTAATAAACGACATGATTTTGCGTGACAAATTACAAGTATTTCGGTCCGAAACCCTTTTTTTACCCAAACACCCTTACGGAGAAAAAAGTCGAGAACGAAAGATAACGAACGAAATAATTTTTCTGTCTGATTAGCCGGGTCTTAAGGGATCACGCCATCGCGAGGAAATACGGTTATTTCGTCGTGGACAAAAATATGGGGAAGTGGCACGACTTCCGGCTACGAAGCCCACCAAGGTAAATGAGATGTCGTCTGTCACGATGAGAAAGCATCGTGTCCGTGTTGTATACATTTTCCTATTCTTCAAAGTGCAACGATCAAAACGAATGCTCTCGCTCCGCGCAGAAATTACAGAGATTCTGGGAAAATCAAAACGAGAAGGAATAAAGGAACCTGTCACGAGGGAATTTTATTCGCGCGCAATTAAACGATCTATCGACTTGTGTATGGATTTTCGACAGACATCTCGGAACAACGAGAATTCTATTTAATTATATTTTCGATTCATTGTTCGTTTCGAATTTGCTTTTATATTCTTGAAAAGTTGGAACGCGCAACAATTATTTTCGAATATTTGCGAATAACGAACGCTACCATCGTTTTCGAATTGTTAATTATTCAGTAAAAAAAGAGGCAACACGAATCGATAACGAAACCGCTCGACGAGGAAGGTTGTCGAGAAAGCCACGGTCTAAAAGAGAAAGCACGTGGCGCTTCCGGTCCCGAATGACAAAATAGCTGTTAAAATGTTCGAAGACACGGTCGAAAATATTCGATCAGAAAGGAAAAAGTTGGAAAATTGTTCGATGACTCGTAATTCGATGTAGGCGAAAACCGCAAAAGTCGCAAATTCGATCGTCGAGCCCGTGGCTAATAGAATTTAGAAGGTTCTTGCTCTCTTTGTTTCGTTGCTGCTCGATTAAATCAGTGTTTCGAGGAAAACTGTAGCTTTGACGTCTCGTTAACGAAGAGAAAAGACTCGGATGCATTTGATTCCGTGAAACGTGACGAAGCTCGGGGAAAGAAACGGGCGTGCAGTTTCGGCTCGGTGAAGCGGAACGCGTGCCAGTATTTCTTTCTATGTGTGTTGCAAAATCGCAGCCTAAACCTTGTCGAACCTACACCGATTTTCGCAATCCCGTTCGAACGGATTTCGCGGAAATTCGACTGCTTCTGATTTAAAAGTTCGGCGCGATGAAATTGATCGGAAAAACGCTTAGAAAATCGCGGTGTTCTTCGCGGGATTCGTCGGAAGGTACCCTTTACTCGACGGAATAAGAATTACGGTCCGATATCTCGGTTAAATAAAAAATAGCCAGCAAAGATTTTTAATACCGAGCCACTACGAAACGCGAAAGAAAGTTTTTATTTTTCCGTGTAACAACTCAAATTTACGAACATTCCGAGTACAAGGGTTCAGTGGTGGAAAGTTAGCTTGGAACGCAGTTCAGTCTAGCGAAAGAAACCAAAATTAAAACAAAAACGACAAAACCGAGTCAGCGTGTTCCCTGATTTTAATTCCCCCCTCGTCCCTCTTGTCTCTCGCTCTCTTTCGCTTTGTTACCGAGCAGCTCCTTCTTGCACCGTGCAAACCAACCCCCAGGCACCCCCTCGACACAAACGTAACCCCAACGTAGGCAAAACTACGGCAAACTTCGCAGTAACGTACACGTAGACGTTCGAGAGTCTCTCCTCGCGACCGCAATGTAAAGATCCGCCATCGAACGCCGCTGTTCTCTCGATCGTTAATAATCCTTTCATCCTCCTCTACGGCCATCGTGAAATTCGATTTCTCATTTTTTCTTACGCTTTTTGCTCCCCCGTTCTCCGCACGGGCAAAAACTTGCGCTGCAGAATTTGCTAGGGGAATTTGAGAAACGCGAAAGACGCAACGGTAATTAGATGTCGTTATCGGTGTAATTTAGGGCGTATAGAGTCGAGTCGCGAGTAATTTCGCGTAAATTAAATTACCCTTTCACGACGACTTTCGATTCTCATGGCTCGTTACTTCCTTCCGTTTAACATTCTTTTCGAAACTCACTAGCGATACAGAGGAAACTGTACGATAATTGACAATCTAAGGTAAAATCGTGTACGGAGGTTCATTTAAACGGTGGAGCAACCGGTTTTGTTAACCGAAGATCTTTAATTACGGGGTGAGAAAAAGTGGTAGCAAAGTGTAGTTCCAAGGCGGACCTAAGTGGCGGTTCAAGATCCGCGATCGTTCGGAATTATTCAGAATCGCTCGGAGTGAATCGAACAAGAGGCAGAAACAAAGTGTCCGAATGAATTGTTGAAAAGCACCGGAGGCGTTTTCGGTCCGTTCGACGAAATGTTGGTCAGAAGCGGAACGACCGCGAGCGGGCAAACTCGATACGGAGAGTCCCGGTGATCGCGCGGATCTGACGGAAGTCGTCGAAGAAACAGCGGTGAACCGTGCACACGCACGCTGACAACACGGAGATTCGGCGATACGCCGAGCAGATGATTTATGAGCCAGGGACACGCCACGTCGTTTGGAGTCTCGCGAATCACTGGACGAACAGCGACCGAAAGAAACTGAAAGAAGAAAAATTAACCTACGTCGTTTAGGAACGAACGCGCGATTCGCGTACGCGTAATGTATTCGATCGTGTCCGAATGCCCGATAACTTCAGCGCAGAGTTAAAAGGGAGAGAGAAAAAAGGGAGCAACTTTGTTCGAAGGGAAATAAAAGGGTCAAGAATCGAGCGGAATCATAGTCGGTCGAAATTATCCACGGGGGTTAATAAATGATAGATAAACGTTTGGCCAACCTCGACGCGCGTGCTGGCAATAATGACCGAGTTCTGGAGTGACTAATGATTTCCCTCGACCCGATGTCGCTCTGATACACTACTGTCGATATTTTATTTTGGCTCGGAAGTCAAGGTCGCCCACCGGATATGCAACCTACCCTTACGATTCCTTAGACTCCGAATTTTCACTTAGCAATTATACACGAGACGAAATAACCATAATGCAGAATCGCACCACAAGTAATGTCCTCCAGAAAATTAAAATTCAATTGCAATTCAAAATTTTGTTAGGTACGAAAATCGAAATTATTAAAAAATGGATGTTGCAGAGACTGTTCGAAGGATTCAGGACACAATGCACGAGCCACGAAGAAAGGATCCTGTGGAATTGAAAAAGAAAGAAAGAAAAAGCGGTTCGAGACGGAAAGAAAATAATAAGAGAAAGATAGGAGGAAGAGTGCAAGGACAAAGGAGGTAGACGAAGCCAAAGCCTACGCGGTTCGTGGAGGGACCCAACGACGGATTTTCGACGGTTGCGTGCCTTTTCTGTTTCATAGTTCGTTAGTTACGCGATGCGTGCACTCGGCTCGCGCGTTCGTTGCGTTCGTGAATGCAGGTCAGTGCATCGCTTTCCGCGTGACCTAATCGCGATGCAGATATTTAGCGAATATTTATTAGATTCGTTTTCAAGGATTTATGCCGCGTTGACGACCAGAGTTATCCGGACAAAACTTGCTCCTGTTTCCTTCTCGCGATAAAACGACGGATTTTGATTAATGTACACGTTGAAAATTACGGCAGAGACCGTTCAAAACTTTCGAATGAACGTAATCGATAAATTAATTCGCTTACTAAATTGCGAACGATAAATCGAAGAAAACTGAAAAGGTGATAAAAGAAGAATAGCGAAGCGTGCGGGATGATTCGACAAATTAGCGGACCGTATACTTATAACGGTTAAGCAAGTTTCCGCGCAGCAACACAAGAAACCGAAGAATGGCTCAATCTATAGCAAAGGGTTAATTGTAGGGAACTTTTTTACACGAATGTTCGCCACGTGACAAATGTAAACGACCAAGTAGGCCGATAATATCGAGATCTCGAAAGCGAAGACCGGTTGTCCATCTGGCCCAGCGAGATTAATGAACGCGTTGCTTAGGTATCGGAGGCTCATTAAGACACATTAACCCCGGCCTCTCTTACCCTCCTTCTTTCTTTTTTTCGCGTTACCTTGTCCTAATGGCACATTGATCACTGTTGGCTCGAAGAAAAACGAGCTGCTTTGGATCCAACCAGGAACAAGAATATCCGCGTGGCTGTTAGCGCAACAAATGCGTCAAGATCGATTCGTCGCGCTCCGTTAATTGATTCAGGAACGCTACAACACGATTTCTAATGATTTTGCGACTAAGCTCGCCTCCAAAATCTACAAATAATTTATTTACCCCTGACGAAGATTTTTAAAATTACTATTTTTATTTCCGATAAAAAGACAGATCAGTTACAAAAATTAATTTGAAATAGACACGTTAAGGATGCAATAGGCTTTATTTTCGGTGTATCCATAAAAGTTGCAGAAAATCTATTAATCCGGTTCGCCTGAAATCGACGGAACTCTCGATAGTCGATAGCCGAGGGGAACGAGACGACATGTGCGCGAACGATAATCCGTTCCCGTGGATTGTATCTTATCGCTATTATCAGGAATCTCTGAAAGGAGAGCAAGTTTATCTAGCCGTTGTATATGGGCCAGATAATTTTACAATGCGCGGAATCGAGCGACTTTCGATTGCCTACGACATTCATAACTCCTAATAAATTCGATGCTAAATCGAAACTGCAAAATCAGTTCCCGAATTCTAGTATATTTCTCCCTCGCGATCGCAACGAATACACCTGTTGAAAATAAAGATCGCTACGTCAACAGGTATGAGATACAAAAATATTTTAACTTGCTAACTCCGTAAGAAAGATATTTAATAATCGAAGTACGGTGTTTCCATTCAAAGTGTCATATTTGGAAATTTTCGAAGGAATGAAGATCTATGATAGAGCTAGTGTCAAAGTAGTCTTTATTTGACGACACTTGGATAGAAAGACCGGACGAAAAGTACAAAAATGGAATGATGTACTCACCTCGGTGCGCTGCTGTAACCTCTTGTTCAACTCGTAGAGCCTGTAGTCCGGCTGGCCAAAGTACGGAGTGTGCCTCCTGGGGACAGGCAACGATCTGTCAGATCAGACCGATCGGTCATGTTAGGTGTGCTGTGTACAGTGTGTTCTCTGGTGTGGGTCGCGTGTCGCATGCATGTAAACCGAAGGGGGTTCAACGTGCAAACGCGGACTTTCGTAAGCCGCCTCGAGCAATGCAACGAAATCGACGAAACGTGGCACAGATTCGCGAACACGAAACTTACGACTTTCACCGTGGAAACAACGATCGCGAACATACCGTGTCTCGGTTACTTCATGGGAATTTTGCTCCGAATGTCTTCGAAACTTAACACCTTGACTCGACGTTTGTACGCGATCCGTGGCGAACGTTAACGCGTCGAGCTCCGACGTGGTCGAACGAAATACAATTTCGCAAATTTTTCCCAACCGATTTGTTCTATCCATTTTCCGTTTTAACGAACGACAAATTTTTCTAGCAATAACGTCGCATCGAAATTAATCCATCGGATCTATCGGAAACGAGAACAACGTTGGCCCCCCGGATCACGAAACGACAGACTAATTCTTGAAAATTGGATTTGCGCTGTAATGCGCGCTCGTAATACGGACAATTGATTGGTGGCATCAAAATATTAGCGTTCGACTGACCGGTGGCAGGCAGCTGACAACCGGGTCCACCGTTCTCTGGAATTGTTATCGATTTTAATATCGACACCGCTCCATTAACGGTGTTCGAGGGCGTTCGATCGCAAAACTTACACGTGCCAACCGCGATACAGCTCGACGCGCACCGTGTCGCTATCCGACTATTCGGTCACACGATTTCGTGTAACTCCAATTTCATTATCTATTTCGATACCTAACTTTGCCCGTTAAAGCGATAATCGTCGCGCGTCTGACATCTATTATGTCACCGATCAGCAGGTTCTTCGATATCGAACCAATTTTAACCATGCGCCTCCTTACAGACACCAGAAATCTTCGCAGCCGATTTAGACTGCAAACACTTGTAAATTAAATACCTCTAACGGTTGTCCATGTTAAATTAATTAGTGTTTTATTAGTAGAAATGTTCGGAAAAAGAATGAAACAATAAGATGTAGACTCCGAGCGAGATTTCGCTGTTAGGAACACGATAAAACGAGAATGGTGCATGTCGTTCGAAAGATCGATCGTGCTAGAAAGAACTTGGCCTTTCTAGTCTCTGGAGAATCACCGGTGTGGGACCTGACGACACGTCACTGCCGTTCGTGCGTGTGTGTACACTCAGCGGGGTGAATTTACCAGGGAAGGGTCGAGGCTCAAGGGTTGCAAGGGTAACCTACTGTCGTACATGGTTCACCAGGGACGAGCTCGACAAATTTCTCCTTCCATTCGTGTTCTGATTCATCTTGATCCTGACCGATTCACCGAAAATCTACTATTTTATTTCTCTTCTATTTTACTTCCGCTCGATTCCCCCGTTCATTCAATTTTTTCGTACGCACGAAGATCGATATTTCATAGAGTGGAAACAAAGTTAATTATTGACTGGCTCCGATCGCGTTAACTTTTTCATCCGCCGGTTAGCGCGCTGAAACAAAGGTTAACACACGTTCGTCTATAATTAACAAGCTTATTTTAGTTCGAAACGCGTGAATGTGGTATCGATCGTATGTTGTGTATGAAAAAATTTCAGGTCGAGTGTTTAATTATAAATAAACAAGCCGAGGATTAATAATAAACGACGTATTATTGGACGGTAATTGAAGCTCGATTAAGATATCGCGACGCTCGAACCATCGATCGAAAAATTATTATCAATCCTTGAATCGCGCGACCAAAATTTTACCAATTTTTCGTAACAAAATAAATTAAATGTTCCTTTATCGTTTCAAGATTCATGCGATCGTAAATTGGTCGACTGTTTGGATGAAATGCCAATTAATTTGCACAGAAAATATTTATGAAAAATTTTCCCAGTCATTTTCGGCAAATTTTTATGACCATCTCCTCGAATGTACCTAATCTATACGATTGTAAAAATTGTAACAGCCGTGTTTTGATTTTTGAAAGAGGCGTTGAAAGAAGTAAAATAAATGAAGAGATATTTCGTTGGAAGACACGATTTTTCAATTTCGAAGGTACCTGTTCGGATCACCGTGGGCTGTCAAGAAGAAAAGAGACACTCGTGTTCGTTGACAGATCGAGCGTGTGGCGTAACATAAAACAGAATCGAAACGCGCTAATTTAGCCGACAACGTAATTTCACGTGAGGCACGTACGCGGCGTGTAGCGGCGTGCAATAATCCGAAACCGGCTCGCGTGGTACTCGACTC